GAGCGAATTGCACCAAGTAGGGGCCAGCCCCGGAAATCAGACCCCCACCAAGGGAGGAGGAGAGACAGCCCCGAAGAAGCCCCCCAGCCACCGCCATGCCGGCGCCCCCGGGGAGCCGCCGGGACGAGTCCGCGGGCACCGAATATCCCCGAACAACACCCAGTCCCACCCCGAAGTGAATCCAGTCCCGGGCCCCAGGGATCCGAGGCCCCAGGGGCGCCCGACCCCCAGACAGGAGCCCCAGCAAGGCCCCGGCCGGCGGGGGGCCCGCGGACAGGCTGCCAGGAATGAGCCAAAGGCAGAGGGAGGATTTCGGGGATGGGGAGCAAAGGACTGGGGTGCTTACTGCACTCCCAGGGAGCCAGCTCCCCCGGACTCAGCAGTAGGGCCGGGCAATGCCCAAAAACCCCTGGCGCCGGCACCAACACCCCCACCCTGACACCGGCGCCCGAACGACACCCCCCCCGACACCGGTCCTACAACACCAATCCGAAGAAGAAGAAAGCCACATAACACAGCAAAGCACAAATCCCGAGCCCCATTCCAAGCTCCGATTCCCGCGGTCACACCCCCAAACCCCCCCCACACACAAAAAAAAATAAAAAAATCCCCCTTATTGAAGAAGAACAGCCGAAAACAAGTCAGTGTCTAACACCCACCGCCACACCGCGAGGACCCCTCCACCCAGCTGCTCCTCCCCAGAAAAATCAACATGCCTGCCCTCCCAGGAGACAAACAAGCCCGCCGAACGGGAACACCACCGACAGCGCACCGCCGGCACGCGGGGGCCCGAGCGGCCCCAACAGAAACAACACCGGAAGGCCGAAATGGAGGAACCGACGGCACCAAACAAGCCCCCATTCCTGACGCACGCAGCCGCCGTAGGATCCCCCCGAGGCGCCCCAGACCCCGCCCCAATGGGGGCAACAGACCCCAGGGCTAGACCCGCCAGGCACCCACCTCTGAGCGCCCCCCCCACCCCCCCCGAGCCGTCCAGGACCCAAGGACCCCATAACCAATTTTTTTTCCTAATAAGTTTGATTGGATATGGCTGAAAAAACTGTCAAACAGGGAACTTTTAGGAATGGAATTCTTTTGTCTTTTCTAAAATCGGTGAAAGGTTGCCTTATCTCAACAAAAGGAAAAACTTCAAACTCCAAACACAAAGAGAGAAGTAGAATCCACCCAGAATCATCTGCTAGTTTCATTGCTAAATGTTTAGTTACCAATCAGTTCTCTAAGGCTACGTTCACACTGCAGACATGAATGCGTAATTGCATTTTATTTGTTGTGAAACAAACTGTGATCTCCTGTCTGAACTGTATTCACACAACTTGTGTCCAACATGCACAGTAGAGGACGCAATGATGTCATAAGCAAGCATGCTCTGTGTTTACGGAATCAAACATGGATGGCAGTGCTGTAGCGCATCTTTCAATCTTTAATTTCTTTCCCAATCTCAGCCAGTGCATTAACAATACTATCTTTTTAAGGAGATTCTAAATAAAGATTGCTCTTTGCATTGTCAAAACAGTTTGTAGACACAAGCAAGCTAACAAATTTGCTGATATATACACGTCTGTGTCCACCAATGTAAGTGCCTAGGGTCTAGGGGAGCATTAAAATGACTTTGAGTCAGCACCAGCATGTGATGTCAAAGCAGAAAACAATATTAAACCCAGAGAGCAGCTTGGAATTTGGAGGCTTAGATGCACATTAAAAGCTATGGCTAACAAAAGCAGTGCAGTGCAATTGATCTTAGCTGTGTCCAGAGGCAGGACTTTGGGGAAATCAGAACCTTCATTAAAGTTTCATATTGTATTTCTGTATACTTGCAGTTTCATCCTCTGTCTCTATTTATTTATGTGCCTAAACTTAGACTCACTGAGAGACTTTGTATTGCTTTTTAAGGGCAGTAATAATACAGTGATTAGATCTTTTTTCTGAGGTCATTTGTTTAGCTAGGGGCAGTGTGGAGTATGGCTTTGAT